AATTCCCTTTGGGGCTTAAGTTAGCTTGATTTGGGTTAACATCATTTACAATGCAAAGAGGTTAGCCCACTCAATCTGTTATTTGGGATGCTCTTAGGAAGGGTGAGAAGGAGAAATGTCATCCAGCAATATTCCCCCAAATTAATTCACTAGGAAGAATTTCAAAGATTATGACAGCATATGACCTTCTCATAGAGGAATATAGCATTTGCTCTAAAAGTCCTACTTCATGAGATTATTTATTTAAAAATTCAGAAGGATTCTAAATGGGGGTTCTCCAATCTGTTGGTAATAGCAAGAAGACTAAGTCTTAGTTTCTTTATGAAACAGAAGAAAACACAGAGATTTGGGGAGAAAACAATCAACTTTCTGGTGTTCAGTGTTGCTCAGAAAATATAAAATATTCTAATGAGGCCTTAAAAGTTCTTGATCTAGTTCTTATGCTTTGATACTATGAGGAGTCAGAAGAGTCAATAGGCAGTTGAATTGGTCCTGGTGATAATGAGGACAGGAGACTCCCTCTAAGAGGGCACGAAATGCCTGCCTTCCCCAAAAGTTACATTTACTAGGATCAAAGTGCCATCCCACTCCTTGGGAGCTTTCAGTCTTATGAAAGTAGCAAAGGAGTGGTGATTCCACTATTCTGGTGGTTTTCGTCTCATCATTTGCAAGCTAGAGAGGACAGACCAGATCACAAATCTGCACTCTTGATGGGTTTTGTCCCTGCCTTCTAACATTGTTAGCTGCTGCTAAGTTTTTTTTTCTTTTCCCCAGTAATTGTTTAAAAGACTCAGACCCTCACAGTTCGGTGGGTTTCTGGCTCTCTTGGAACCCCCTTCTGGCTGCTTTGGGAGGAGGTTTCTGATAAATAAATCTTGCTTTATTCTCTGCCTTGTCCACATGCAAACTCTTCTTTCAGAGACAAAGAACTGAGGTAATCTTTCCCTGCCACTGGTGCACTTGCAGCATTATCCTTGGAGATCTATGTTGGCCCTTCTTCTGCCTATAATTAAATTGTGTTTGGAGACTAATTGACATCCAGCAATCATTACAGATGAACAAAAATGAGACTTGAGCTTAGAGTCAAGCAGGCCAGAGGATTTCCTGCTCATTATGTGTGAGGGCACTTGGAAAGAGTAACAACTAAAAGTACCTGCCACACCTGAGTGTGTCCTGGCAACTGGTTCAACACAAGTTAACTGGAAGGTCCCTGGAAACTAGAATTCTCAAGAGAATAACACTAGATAGTGCAAAGCATAGGTAGATCTCTTCCTTCAAAGAAGTACAGTGTCTGTGGTTTCATTTTCTGCAGTTTTAACTGCCTGTGATCTTAAATATTAAGTGAAAATTTTCAGAAATGAATAATGTGTATTTTTAAATTGTGTGTCATTCTGAGTAACATGAGAAAATTTTGACCCATATTGCAATCTCTCACCTGGAATGTGAATTATTCCTCGTCCAGCATATCCACATTGTATACATTAACCTCCCATGAGTCACTCAGTCATCTCAGTTATCAGATTAACTCTCATGACATCTCTGTGTTTGTGTTCAAGTAACCTCCAGTATACATAATAATGGACCCAAAGTACAAGAGTAATAATGCTGCCAATTCAGATGTCCCAAAGAGAAGCCATAAAGCCCTGGGAGCCAGGTCTCCCACATGAATGACAAGGACCCAGTCTCCTGAGTTTTCACCTGCTGTCTTAAAATACTGAACTTTGTGAAACAGACAACATCGAAAGTATCCACACCACAGTAGAACAGGAAATAGCTTGAGTCACTAAGAAGGATGAGACATCAGTTTGAAAAAAGCTCCTTTGGGGTCAGTGCTGTGTGTTGCAGGTAAAGCCTCTGCCTGTAGTGCCAGCATCCCTTATGGGCACTGGTTCAAGTCCTGGCTGCTCCACTTCCAATCCAGCCCTCTGCTATGGCCTGAGAAAGCAGTGGAAGATGGCCCAAGTCCTTGGGCCCCTGCACCCATGTGGGAGACCCAGAAGAAGCTCTGGGCTCCTGGCTTCAGATCAGTGTAGCTCCAACTGTTGTGGCCAACTGGGGAATGAACCAGTGGATGGAAGACCTCTCTCTTTCTCGCTGCCTATCCTCCCTCTGTGTAACTCTGACTTTCAAATAAAATAATAAATCGTTAAAAAGAAAAAAAAGAAAAAATCCTCTTTAATAGCAACATGAATGCTACTAAAATTGAAGTAAGAGTGGGCTGGCAGTGTGGCATACCAGATTAAGCCATCACCTGCAACACTGGGATCACATATAGGAGTGCCAGTTCCAGTCCCGGCTACTCAGCTTCCTATACACCTCCCTGCTAATATGCCTGGGAAAGCATAGGAGGATGGCTCAAGTGCTTGGTCCCCTGGCACCACGTGAGAGATCAGGATGTTGTTCCTGGACCCATCTGGATTGGACTAGTCCCAGGGGTTGTGGCCATTTGGGGACTGAGCCAACAAATGGAAGATTCTCTCTCTCTCTCTCTCATTCTGTAAAATACATAAATTAATCTATTGAAAACTTGAGGCAAGGACGAACCTCAAATTGATAATGAAGCTTGGGTGGGAGAATGGTGAAATCATTGATGCTTTATAAAATTTTATGGGAACAATGCTCCAGAGAAATCATCAGTTTGCAAAAGCGTAGCTCATTTTAAGATGAAATGAGACAATGCTGAAAATGAAGCCCACAGTGCCAGACCATCCACATCCATTTTCAAGGAAAACAACATAATACTTTTCTGCTCTAACTGATGTGGACAATGATTAAAAGAACAAATAAGTCAAGACCATAGACATCACAATTGATTCAGCTTGGACTGAAAAATTAAAGTGGAGTGCTTTCTACTCCACACATACCAAAACTGTTGTGCCCAGATAAGTCACAGACAAGAACACAGCATCCCAATGGAAAATGTCAGCAAGTGGAATCCTGAAGGATTTTTGAAAAGAATTGTTTTGAGAAAGTAGTCAAAGCTTCAGAAGAATAACACCCAAAAACCTCCACCAGGGAGTCCCTCTCCACAGTGACAATGCTCCTGCTCATTCCTCTCATCAAGCAATGGCAATTTGGTGAGAGTTTCACAGGGAAATTGTTATAAACCCATCTTACAATACTGACTTGGTTCCTTTAAACTTATTTTTGCTTCCTAGTCTTAAAAAGTCTTTAAGGAACACCCATTTTTTCCCAACTAACAATATAAGAAAGGTTGCATTTACATAGTTAAAGTCCCAAAAACTTAATTCTTTAGGGAAGCACTAAATGGCTGATGCCATCACTTGCAAAACTGTCTTGACAAATACCACGTGTTCTCCCTGATCTGTGGTAACTAATAGATTACCTAAAAGGTGATCTATAGAGTAGAATTGACACTTTGAGATGTGATGATTTTGAACAGCCCTTATCTTCACTGTTGGGGACTTTTTTTTTTCATGCTATTTGTTGAACTCTTTACTTAATGTAAGGTATGAATACAAAGATATCTCATTAGTATAAAGTTAGCTGAAAATATTTTTGTAGAAAATAAGATGAGAATAAGACAGGGAGGAGGAAGAGGGGTGGAAGTGAAGACAGGAGGGAAGGTTGAGTGGGAAGAATCACTACGTTCCTAAATTTGTATATATGCAATTAATGAAATTTGAACAAATTAAATAAAAGATTTCTAGGTTTAAATAAGTGTCTTGAGCTTGATGGATTTTAATGCTAGAAATAAAGTTTATATTTTTATTTTAATTTCATATCTATTTTTAAAGTTCTCTAGTATTTGTCTTAATTCATCTAGCATAGTATCCTCAAAATTCAGCCATGTTTAAACATGTGTCAACATTTCTTACATTTTCAGGGTTCAACAATGTTCTATTGTATGTCATATTTTTTTTTATCTTTTCATCCACTAATGCACATTTAGGTTACTTCAACGTCCTTGCTGTGGTGAATAATGTTTCGATGACTATGAGTGTACAAATATATCTTTGAAACCCAGCTTTCAATTCTTTTGTGTGTCTACTCAGAATTGGAATTGCTGGATCATGTGGTAAATCTAACCCTTGTCTTTTTACTGATCTCAGAGGAAAAGCTTTCAATATTTCATCATTAATTGTGACATTCATGGTAGGTTTTTCATGAGTGGCTTTTATAATTTTAAGGTAATTTTTTTTTTTTGGACAGGCAGAGTGGACAGTGAGAGAGAGAGACAGAGAGAAAGGCCTTCCTTTTGCCATTGGTTCACCCTCCAATGGCCGCCACATCGGCCCCGTGATGTGTCTGATGGTCACCCAGACTGCCAGCCAGCACGACCTCGTGGTGACCAGCTCCAAGGACCAATACTATGTCAAGATGTTCAAGCTGGGCGAGTGTGTGACCGGCACCATCGGCCCCACCCAGAACTTCGAGCCCCCACACTATGATGCTAGGCCCTGGGGGCACAGATTCAAAGGACAGAGCCAGGCAAGGAGGGGGCTGGGGATGGGCAGGGGCCAGATGATGACCCAGAACCTCCCTGCACATTCTGTCCTTGCACTTAAGAGGGCAGCAGAGGGTCTGGGAGCCAGCAGGGGGAGGGAGGTGTCCAGGCCCTGGAAGGCCTGAGGAGGCTTTGGCCCAGCAAGGGAAGGCGCTCATCACTCCTGCAGGGCGGACACCGGCTAGGGCAGGGTCTGGGCCCACATGGCCCCAGATGACATTGGGGAGCCCAGCAGGATCAGTGGGGGGCTGGGTGCCGACCACAGCCCCCACACCAGGCAGCACGAGGGGTCCCAGCGACCCAGCGTCCTCCCTCCCCACAGCGGCTTGTGCCCTTAAGTGACCTGCGCCCACCACACAGCCCCAGCGTGGGCAGCAGGGCCATCACCGAGGACTGGGTGTTTCCCGAGCTGCAGCCGGGCCACAGGTGCACCAGCCTCCGCCTGGCCTATTCCCCCGTCCACAGCAGGCTCCGGAAGCAACCAGGTGGAGCCTCGGAGGGGTCAGTCACTCACAGGAAAGCAAACACTGACCTGGTTCACACCGAGACCGGGGCCTGGTCCCAACTGCCACGGGGATGGGAGCCACCTTCTGCCCGGGAGCTTACAGTCAGCTTCAAAGGTGTGGACTGGGTCTCGGCCCCAGACGTGGGCACTCTGGGGTCCAAGCTCTGCAGGCTCAATAGGGTGGGGACCCTGGCTGTGCCCAGGTGTGTGAAGATCCGGGGTCTGGACAGGGCCCCCGGCACACACACACGGCTTCATCTCGAGTCTTTGGACTAGCATGGAGGGACAGGAAGTAACGGGATCGATCCCAGGATCAGGACCAGCTGGGCCCCCGCGGTCTAACTGCGGCCCGGGCCCACCGTTGTGCTCCATGGCAACAATACTGTGCTTCCGACACGTGGGGTATTGAGCGCTGAGTGGAGCTGGGGCCTGCCCCGGCCCTGAGCCTCGGGCTCCCTGAGAGAACAGCAGGGACGGCGCCCGCGGAGCACGGCTCAGAGCGGCCCAAGACTCCCAGGGAGGTAAGACGCTCGCCAGGACAGCAGAGCCAGCTCCACGTGAGGTAGCTGACCCAGCAGAAACAGCAGGACACGGCCATGGCGCCCAGCACCTCTCCAGGGACTGCAAGAGCGCCCCAGGCACGTTCAGCCCGGGTGCGGGTCTTCCAGCTCCGGCAGTCTAGGTAAATGGCCGTGTGATGCGTCCTCCCTACAGGTGGCAAGTTTCTGTGGCAGGTGGCTGGGGAGGGGTGCACGTGGGCAGGAAGAGACTTGAGGCCACTTCTGAGCGCTGAGGGGCCCGGCACCCAGGGGAGAGGAAGGCCTCGCCGGGAGACTTTCCAGGTGTCCAGGGGCAGGGTTCAGGTGCTCCTCGCAGGTCAGCACAGCCAGAGTCAAGCAGCATGTCCCTGAGGGCCACACGCGAGCAGCTGTGGGAGGAGGACACGCCCCCAGCCTTCCTTGGGCCACAGCAGCCACCCTAGCTCCAGCTCCGCAGTCCCAAAGTCACCGTTCCCTGGGGAAGGAGCCCAGGGCTGGCGTGGGTGGGGAGGGGCCTGGGCCTGCGCATGAGGAGCGTTCCTGCAAATCCACAGTTGCCCCACCAGGGGGCGCCGGGACTCTGGAGCTGGGAGGCCACAGTCTCAGGGGAAGGAGGAAGCAGCTCACTGAGCTCCTCAGTGGGGGGCCCACGCCCAGGCCGGTTTTAACGCTAGAAAGCGCGGCTGACAAAACCAGGGTGGAAGAAGCACGGGGAGCCCAGAGACAGCGTGAGCCCCCCGAGGCGGGTGGGGAAGCCCGGGCACCCTCACCCCCCCCCAAACTTGCCGGGGGGCCGTCCACTGAGCTGCTCTCTGTGTGACCTCGCAGGCCCTGCCTTTCTGGGGGTGGCGGGCACGAGCTCCTGGGGTAGAAGACACGTGTGGCGCGGCGGGTGTGGCTGGTGTGAGGCTGCCCCGCACCGGTGCTAGGCCCCAGGACAGGAGAAGGCACTGTACTGTTGGACAGCCTGGAGGGTCCCTGGGCGCAGGGGCAGGGACAGGCCCAAGCTGCAGAGTGGGAGGGGGCACTACCCTCCTGTGCGCAGTACATGGAGGCTGTGGCCCTGGGGATTCCTGGAGAGAACACGTGGGAAGAAACTTCAAGTCCGTTTCCAGGAGGCAACAGCAAAAAAACAAAAACAAAAAACATAATAAATTAAACGGCGGGAGTATTTCTGACCATCTCCCCAAGCAGCTCCACCCTGGCCCAAGCCACTGCTGGGGTCCCCAGGGCACAGGGCCAGCTGCCTGCACCTGGCTCCCGGGGCTACCTGAGGACTCTAGCTCAGAGGCAGGTGCAGTGGCCCGGAGGCCGGGCTGGGTCACAGGGGAAGGCCCGCTCGCTGGGGGGCGCCATGGGGCTGGGCTGGGCTGGGCTGCTTCAGTTCCCCTCTGAGCCCCAGGGAAAAGCCCAGAGGCTCAGCGCAGACCACGGCGGAAGGGGGAGGAAGAGGGATGACGCCCCTTGCTTTCGCGGCTCAGTCTCCCCAACCTCTCTCTGAGGGGCTGCGCTCTGTGGGAAGGCCCAGAGCAAGCAGGGCGGGAGGGGGCCGCAGCCTCCACCCCCAGCCACAGCTTCCCCTCCATGGTGGCGGGACGGCTGGGCCAAGGGTCGGGCATCCCTCAGGCCTTGTTCCTAGGATGCGCCTCCGGGCACCCTCCTCACACTCCAGAACTTCACTGTCAGGTCACTGGAAGCCGTGAACATGTGCTTGGCGTTGGTGCAGATGGCCTTGATGGGGCTGTCGTGGTCCTTGATCTCACCAAGGGGCGTGAAGTTGTTTTATTATTATGCCTGTGCTTACAACACAGGTATTTGTGTTTTCTCATTAAGTTTCTCTTCTGTTTGATTATGCTGTGGACTACTTGAAATTCCTTCAGTTTAGACTGCATACCTACTTAGACCTGAAGACTGTAAGCAAGTAATCTTTTTATTGCTCCTAATTCTCAGTGTGTCTGGTCATGTTATAGAATACTTTGAAAGCAATTCAATACCATTGCATTTAGTTATGTTGCAAACTTCTTAAATTTAAGGAATCAATTACCACCTATTATATTCTGCACACATGATTAATTCAACTAGTCATAAAGCAATTATTCCAAATGTGAATCAGTTTTCATCCTGTCTAAACATAAGTTAGGAAGACCCCTTTTTGAATTATTTATTAGCTATCAGTGGTGCTCAATTAAAGTGATATTAAATTATATAGCTGAAAGGAATTTTTAAAAAATCCATATATCTCTCTAAATTTTTGGCTCTTTCCCTCCAATACAGGGGTGAATGAGAAATACGGCAGTAAGCCAGCCTGCCATTTTTCCAAAAGCAGCCACAATAGAATCCGCTGGATTGAAATAGAACATTTAGAGTTGAGTTTGGCACTCAGTTCTTTCAACCAGTACTATCTTTGTGACATGATTCACTGGGCCAACCACCCAGAGGAACTTTGTGTCTGGCTGTCCAATTTGGAAATATAGAAAAGAGTTCATGACCACCATGTTTTGTAAACCCATATTTCTGAAAATTATATTTCTCCATTTAAAAAGGCTATGAATAGCCAGATGTGTGTATTGGGAAAAATCAACCATTTTGTTAAAAGGCTTTGCGTACAATTTCTAAAAACTCATTGGTATCACTTGAATTGGTTACACATTGCTTTCTGGCAGAGTAATTTCTGTATTTCTATAGCTGCCTAAAAATGATCAGCATTCCAATTCCATTCAAAGATTCTACAAATACATCATCAGTGATATTGTGTCTTATTAAATAATGCTATTAGGTAAACTACATGGCATAGTGAAAAAAGCATGAACTTTTGTGCCAGAGAAATCTGGATATGAATCAGAATTCATTCCTATGTAAGAATGAAGAGATTTATTAACTAAATCTCCCCAGATTTAGTTCTTCAACCATCTGAAAAATCACCTCATTGTAAGGTGGTGAGGATTACATGAGATAACCTATGCGAATTCTGATAACAACCTCCTTATGCAGCACTGAACATCAATGTGTCCATGTTGCAAATCAGGCTATTAGAGTTCAAGTAATTCCTTCAGTACTGGAGAGGAAGCAAGTCTGTAATGTCATGACAAAATGTAAATGTGTCTTTCACAATCAAAATATACCTAAAAAGTAGTATTCTTGCAAATATCACCTTCCTGATAAAAGTTTAAATTCTCCTAATTACAATAATTATTATTATTTCAATAGCATTCACATCATTTTCTCACAGTTGTTACATTCATTGAATTATCATACATGCATCAACATCACTTTTGTAAGCATAAGTTCCAAATCAAAAGCCCAGTTAAGGTTGCAGGTCTATAACGTGTAGTCACAGCTTTTGTAAATCTTAGCTTTCCCATTTTCAAATCGTTGTTGATCATAGTGTTGTTGTATCATTTAAGTAAGAATATTTGGTAGACTGTTTTGAGAGATGAATATATATTGCAGCTATAAATTTTGATTGGATTAGAAATTTGCATGATATTTGTTTAGATGAAACATGATTATTGAATATGTGGCTTGAGTAATGCTCAATATTGACAGTTTTCACGAGAATTCTTTAGGTATAATTTAAAGGTGATTCTCAAAGATCAATGCATTGCTTAAGACATTATTTGGAACTTAGAGTGAACAAGACAGACAAAGCATTACAAATGGAGTTGAGGTCTTTGCAGTGTCATCAATGAATAAAGTGATCATATAGGTAAGCTGTAACCAGTCTAATTCCATCTTCCTCATCAAAAATTTTCAAAATAGCAATTACACACTTACGTCCAAGAGGGTGGAATGGATTATAAAATATTAATAGAAGATATGAATTGAAAACCAGCATTAAGGTAAAATTACTTGGATCTTTAACCCTTTCCCATGGTAATTATTCAACTAAATCAATTTTGGAATGGCAACGAGTCCTATCATTAGACATGTCTTTTGATCAAATACTGGGATTCATGAGTTTTATTAATGAAGAAAGATTATTAATTTTATGGTTTCCAAAAATATATAAGTAGAAACAAGGTCATTTATTGTACTCAAATACAAGTATCCCTATGATTGAACGACACAGATCAGAAATAAGTCTAGGAGACATAACTGTCTCTGCATCTGAATAAATGAACTATTAGTAATTAGAATTCACAAAGCACATAGGCTAATGGATGGAATAACACAATTCTACTTCTATTTTAAAGTTTTTAGTCCTCATTTGTTCAAATGGCTCTACTAAGCACAACACTGATGGAGTACTTTGACCCTTTGCACATCACTTCTTTCCAAGGCAAAATTTCACTTGTTCTCTTTCTCCTTAAAGTTCTGCTTGAAAATGATTCATGCTTATAACTGAAGGTGAAGAAACCTGGGCATTCATTCAGATGATTAAATATTAAGAAAATTTTTCTCAATCTGAAAAAATGATACACAACCTTATTATCCCCTCACCATTGGCTGAGAGTGAGATGTGATTCCCAGAAGTAGGATTCGTTTTCCTGGTGATGATGGAATTACTATCAGGATTAGCCTTCCACTAACTGAGCTGACTTTACCTCATTGGCAAGACATTTTAAATGTCCTCATGACATTCACTTACAAGTGCTGTAGTTATCTAAAGCAAAAAGGATGAACTGATTTGAAATTGATTTACTTACATGTCCATGTTTATACTAACAGATGGGATCAAATTTTCTAAGAATACTGATTTAAATGTAACTGACTCTTGTTTCTGTTTGAATCTTTTTTCCTTTAAGGGAAATGGGCTAGTATATATAAAAATTTATTTCATTAATATCCTTTGTGTTGTTTTTTCTCCTGTAGGTTTTCTAGCTAATACATACCAATCAAAATGATAACTACTGGTAATTAGAAAGCCCACATTCCATGATTTCCATTAAATTTAATACTATGTTCCTACCTTGTGTTGCATGGTTTTCATGGGTACTGATAGCTTCTAAGCAGTAAATTGAAATATATTTCATGGGTAACATGGAAATAACATTTTCACTATGTTGTGTACTCCTATATTATATATGGTCTGAAATA